ATGATTTAAAAAAAACAAACAAACAGCTTAGCTGGAGAGCCAGAAAATAAAATCAGTATAATCTGAATGAAAGCAAAAAGGCAAGGAGACAGAAAACATGAGACAAGAGGGCAATCTGGAGTCTGATACCTGACTAATAAAAGTTTCAGAAAGACAGAACAAACAAATCAGAATAAATAATTTGAGAAGATTCACTAGACTTAAAGTGAGACATATATCTGCGCATCAAAAAGGCTTACTTAGTGCTGGTTAGGATGAATGAAAGAAGATCTACAAAGGAAGCAACGTTTCAGAACATCATGGATAGAGAGAAAATCATAAATGTTTCCAAGGAACAAAAATTGAAGTAGTTTTAATGGTTTTATCAGCAACACTGGATGGTAGAAGACAGTGGACTTAAAAATCCAGGGGGAAAATGATTTCCAACCCCGTGTTCTATACCCAGGAAAACTATTAATTAAGCGTGAAAGTAAAATAAAGACATCTTAATACATTCAAGGATTCAGAAAGTTTAACTCTCATACATCCTTTCTCAGGCAGTTGTTCTAGGATGAGCACAATCAAACAAAGCAGTTAACCAATAAAGAAAAAGTCAAAGAATCCAGCAATAGTGGATTCAGCCCAGAAGCTTAATGAAAGGAAGTTCCAGGATGACAACTATAGCACAGGCCTAGATTGCATTGGGAGGAAGATGGAGGGCTCAAGAAAGGAGATATATATTGGGGGAGTAAATGGGTGAGGTGTTTTCATATAGTTGTCTTTATCTTTGAAATATTGAATGAACTAAAGAAACTTTAGGTAGATATTGCTAGACTAAAAGTCAGTAAAACTTCAGGGAAAATAATATGTTGCTCAAGAAAGAAAAGCACTCCACTTGATTCTGCGTTAAAAATATTTTTACCTTTTATGTATCTCTCAAATTAGTCCATTCTCTTTGAATCTACTAATACTACCACTCTAGACTGTTACTGTAATTTTCTTTTATCTGCTCCGTCCTCTCTCAAATCCGTTCTCCTACAGTAGCCTCTTAACTAGTTTTCTTTTTCATTTTTTTTGCGGTACACGTACCTCTCACTGTTGTGGCCTGTCCCGTTGCGGAGCACAGGCTGCGGACGCGCAGGCTCAGCGGCCAGGGCTCACGGGCCCAGCTGCTCCGCGGCATGTGGGATCTTCCCGGACTGGGGCATGAACCCGTGTCCCCTGCATCGGCAGGCGGACTCTCAACAACTGCGCCACCAGGGAAGCCCTTAACTAGTTTTCTTGCATCTACTCTGTCCTCTCTCAAATCTGTTCTCCATACTACACTCCATAGATTGCTTTTTTCAAAATGCAAATTCAGTTATGTCCCTTCTTTGGTTAAAACACTTCAGTGGCTCCCCATAGCTCCTAGAATAAAAGATCCACATCATTAACATCCACTACAAGGTTCCATACTAACACTAAGTCAATCAGTTCCTAAGTAGCAGTGGGGTGCCAGCTGCTATGTAGTCTTGCCTCACCTCCATAGGATTGACTGGTAAAGACACAAGAGACCCAAATATATTTAGACAGTTTACTACTTACACAGACAGCAAAACATGATCAGCATGGTATCAGTTGCATGCATCCATAATCCCAGAGGATGACACTGAACTGGAGGGACCAGATGAGAATGATGGGTTGCTTTGTTTTTGAGGAGTCAACTCTAGGCTGCAGCTAAGCAACTTTATAGCCTACAGCTGTACCTGAAAGGGTCAAGGTGGAAAGTCCTATGCCTTACTAGAACCAGGAGACAGATGAGAAACTGCTTCATGACAGCCTTATGCAGGATAGGCAGCCTCCTGCAAGCTAAGGAGGCAGATGAGAAATAGCCTTTAACAGTTCCTCGCAAGACTGGCTATCTTGACATGTCCCAGGGAGGATCAGAGGGCATTCTGTAACTAACTGAGCCTTGCCTAGGTGGAGACATGCAATCACCAGGGTGCCATGGTGGAGCTGTTTCCCTAGGAATATAGGCTGATCTTACTACCACTGTAGTCTCATCTCATGCACTCTCATTTTTTGAGCATCAGCCACATTGACCTTCTTTTAATTTCTCCACGTGTCATGCTTTCTCTTGTTTTTGAGCTTTTTCTTGAAAAAAAGCTTTCTCTTGAAAGCTTCTTCATATGCTATCCCTTTCTTTCTCCTACCCTTTGCCTTGTTAATGCCATTCTTTCTTCAGTCCTCAGTCCAATTATCACTTCATTAGGAAAGTCTTCCAAGACATTCCTGACCAGGCCCATTCCCCCTGTTACGTAGCATTGTGCCCCTCTCCTTCATAGCACTCAGAACAATTTTATATTTACTTGTATAATCTTTAATTAATGTAATAATAGAGATAATACATACACTAATATATTAGTTTATTACTTAATTTTAAAATGCTATCACATACGTAATTTCATTTTATCTTTTTACCTCTGTGAGGTAACAAAACAGGTAGTATTATTTTTTTAAATAAATTTATTTATTTATTTTTGGCTGCTTTGGGTCTTCATTGCTGCGTGCGGGCTTTCTCTAGTTGGGGCGAGCAGAGGCTACTCTTTGTTGTGGTGCACGGGCTTCTCATTGCAGTGGCTTCTCTTGTTGCAGAGCACGGGCTCTAGGTGCACAGGCTTCAGTAGTTGCAGCACATGGGCTCAGTAGTTGTGGCGCACGGGCTTAGCTGCTCCGCGGCATGTGGGATCTTCCCAGCCCTGGGCTCGAACCCGTGTCCCCTGCTTTGGCAGGCGGATTCTTAACCACTGCACCACCAGGGAAGTCCAAAACAGGTAGTATTATTTTTAATCCCTGCTGTTGTTGTCGTTTTTAACAGAGAACAATCCATATTAGAACTCATGTTTTCTTACTCTAGTTTAGGGTGCCCTGTACTTCACCACTGTGTTTTTCATGTAAATACATTAAATATAAAGCAGCATACAGTAGGTGAGAGGGGCAAAGAAAATGCCATAAGGGCTTGAAGGAGAGAGAAATCACTTCCAATTTAGGTGATCAGTATAGATCTCCATGATAGAGGTGCCATTTGAGTTGGTTGTGAAAGCAGATAGATAGGCTTCTGGTAGACAAAGAAGGGTCTTCTAAGACAAGAGGTAATATCAAAGGTACAATCATAGAAAGGCTTGGGACTATTTGAACACTAATGGCAAGTGAATGTATTTTTTGGATGTAGGGTTAATATGGGTGCTAGAAGGGAGGCTAGAATTACATTGTAGAGGACCTTAAATGTGGAATTAATTTTGTTGGCAGCAGGAAGTAACTAACGTTTCTAAGTGGGCAAATTATCTGATCAGAGTTGAATTTTGGGAGGATTAATTAAGCAACAGCATATAGATAAATTGTAGCATGGTAGGACTGGATTCAAGGAAAACAGAGATCACGAACTGGGGCAAAACTTCTCAACCAGTAAGCCGTGACATACCTTGTAAAGTATAACGTTGAAACCTTTCAGACAAGGATCACTAGGAGCATACCTATATTTGAGGAAAGTTAGGTATTTTTTAATTTGCTGCAGCAAAGGAGAGCACAGCACCTGCAGAACTGTGGGTCATCTCAGGGAATTGCGAGGAGCCTATTATAGGAGTTCAGCTTGTGCCAGGTGATTCTTAGAAGGGTTTGGGAGAAGCAGAGATCAGTTCTAGATTGGGTGCTATCAGCAAGTGGGATATTGGATATTTTGGTATATCTTATCTTGGAGATGGGAGAATTAAAAAAATAGTAGTCATTTGTGTTAGCCAGAAGAGGGAGATGTTTAGTTATTTTTGTGGTTCTTCAGCGTCCTTGTCTCTACTTTCAGAAATAATTACACACTAGTCTTATATCTGTCTTCTACTACGATCATAGAGTGGCCTTATCTGATTATTGTTTATATTCTGCCGAAATTGTTTATGTTCAGTTGGGAACACTGTGGTTCAGCTGTCAGCTGCCAGCTGCCAGGGTTATTTTATTACTTTTTCAGTACCCAGTACATTGATCTGCTCAGCCCCCAAGGCATCTAACCAGTTGCCTCATATGGTGAGCAGCCTTATTCATTTACCCCTGGGTGCTATACATATATTATCATTGTTCAGATGTGCCATGCCTTGAAAAAGTTGATTGAGCAACACACTGAAAATGAAGAGTAAAGGACCGAGAAAGATTACAAAAGTTTTCAGAGCTCTTCACTACCTCCAACATTTCTAATTTAAAATCTGTGCTCCAGCAAAAATAAACTGATGTGTTTCTATAGTCTGTGGTTGGTTGCCTTTGGATATTATGCTGTCTATCTGGAACATCTTCCTCTGGTCCCCTTCTCATGTCCAGATCCTGTCTGTCCTTCAAGGACCACTTCAAATGTCTCTCCCTTCTCCCATGTTACTCGGAGAGTGAAAATCAAGAAAAAACCTACTTAAATATAATAAATGAAGAATAGATTATATATTTCGATATATTAATTCTAGCTTAGAGGGGTCAAGCTGGAAGCAATCTCTCCTTTCTATGAATTCATATAGCAAATTTGTTTATATCCCTAAAGCACTTATTTCTAACATTTATTAAATATGCATGGTGTCCTATCTACTAGCTGCTGTCAGTGGTACCATCAAAATGCCATGAGGTTTCCTTCTTTCCGGGTTCTTCAGGTTTAAGTATAAAGTAGAAAAAAAAGTTTCAAAACTCCACCCTCATTCTTATCTCATTCAGCAGGAGTTAACTGATGTTCAGTGATATTTGGTTTTATTTATATCAGGGAGGTTAAGAGAAGCTTATAGGTGACTCAGTGCTCCTTGTGAAAAGCTGGGATGGGCCCCATAGTGGGCAGGGACTGATTGTTATCAGAATATCTTTTTAAAAATACATATTAAAGGGGTTAACTTTTGAGGGAGTGTGAAAATCATAATCCTTTTGTACTGCCAGAAAGGACAGAGCTGGATAAAAATTAATTATAATTAGTCACATTAATAGATGTAGTGAAAAAGAGGCTTTCTTTTCTTATATTAATTTAGGAATGACTGCCTGCAAAAAACCTGGGAACCGAGAATGTAAACATCACTGTAAAAATAAACATACATGTGGACACGACTGCTGTGAGTTTCATAAAACAAGTTTATCAGGTTTTAAAAATTGAAAGGTCATTGAAGAATAGTAATAATATCCTAATTATCTATGTATGATATTTATATTATGCAGCTTATAACTCAAATAATTTTCTTTCTTTTGTGGTTAACATTTTTAAAAAGTAAATATTAGATTAGAAATTTTGAAGAAATTTGGCTTTATATGAACAATACATAAAGTTTAACTTAAACAATCTAGAATTTCTTCTCATAGGTAAAAATGGAGTTGCACAGAAGTCAGAAATGAAAGAGTCAACAGTGTCTTCATATTTATCTGATTTAAGAAACAGAAATGCTGTTTCATCTCTTCCTCCAGTGAAACGTCTAAAGGTTAGTTTTAATAACATTTATCCCTTGCTCTGTAATTAAATGTATATGAATATCCCTTTATTCTGGGTATCAGGTAGGTATCCACAGAGTACTTTAGAGTTACATAAAGGCTTGAGTAGGAAAATGACTATTATTCATAATACTGTTTCTATAGGAAAAGATACTATAGTTTTTAATAATTAATCTATAAATCCACTTTTGGTGCATAGGGGCATAGTTATACATCCCTTTGCTTCATTAGCCTCTTTTTTTTTTTAAACCAGAGAAGAGGGATATGTAGCTTGCTTTGGTTCAGCAATTGAAACTAGAAACTCTTGCCCTTTTGTGGCTCCATCTGTGGTGGACTGCGCTGGAAAGTCTGAAGTTGATTTTGATTGATGCACATAGATGAGTACTGAGCAAGAGTCTCCCTTTCAAGTGGTGAAGAAATGGGAGTCCCCACTGGTTGATAGGATAGTCACTAGCAGACTTACTCTAAGCCTAAGTCATCATATCCAGGGCAAAATAATTGATCAGGCCACAAAACAGAGCGAAGAAAATGGCAGAGTGCCTGATTCTTTTCTAGGTCTTTTTTTTTTTAAACATCTTTATTAGAGTATAATTGCTTTACAATGGTGTGTTAGTTTCTGCTTTATAACAAACTGAATCAGCTATACATGTACATATATCCCCATATCTCCTCCTTCTTGAGTCTCCCTCCCACCCTCCCTATCCCAAACCCTAGGTGGTCACAAAGCACTGAGCTGATCTCCCTGTGCTATGCGGCTGCTTTCCACTAGCTATCTATTTTACGTTTGGTAGTGTATATAAGTCCCTGCCACTCTCTCACTTCGACCCAGCTTACCCTTCCCCCTCCCCGTGTCCTCAAGTCCATTCTCCACATCTGCATCTTTATTCCTGTCCTGCCCCTAGGTTTTTCATAACCATTCTTTTCTTTCTTTTTTTTAGATTCCATATATATGTGTTAGCATACAGTATTTGTTTTTCTCTTTCTGACTTACTTCACTCTGTATGACAGACGCTACGTCCAACCACCTCACTACAAGTAACTCAATTTCATTTCTTTTTATGGCTGAGTAATATTCCATTGTATATATGAGCCATGTCTTCTTTATCCATTCATCTGTCAGTGGCCACTTAGGTTGCTTCCATGTCCTGGCTATTGTAAATACAGCTGCAGTGAACATTGTGGTACATGACTCTTTTTGAATGATGGTTTTCTCAGGGTATATGCAATGCCAAGTAGTGGGATTGCTGGGTCACATGGTAGTTCTATTTTTAGTCTTTTAAGGAACCTCCATACTGTTCTCCATAGTGGCTGTATCAATTTACATTCCCTCCAACAGTGCAAGAGGGTTCCCTTTTCTCCACACCCTCTCCAGCATTTATTGTTTGTAGATTTTTTGATGATGGCCATTCTTACTGGTGTGAGGTGATACCTCGTTGTACTTTTGATTTGCATTTCTCTAATGATTAGTGATGTGGAGCATCCTTTCATGTGTTTGTTGGCAATCTGTTTATCTTCTTTGGAGAAATGTCTATTTAGGTCTTCTGCCCATTTGGGGATTGGGTTGTTTGGTTTTTTGATATTGAGTTGCATGAGCTGCTTGTAAATTTTGGAGGTTAATCCTTTGTCAGTCGCTTCATTTGCAAATATTTTCTCCCATGCTGAGGGTTGTTTTTTCATCTTGTTTATGGTTTCCTTTGATGTGCAAAAGCGTTTAAGTTTCATTAGGTCCCATTTGTTTATTTTTGTTTTTATTTCCATTTCTCTAGGAGGTGGGTCAAAAAGGATCTTTCTGTGATTTATGTCATAGAGTGTTCTGCCTATGTTTTCCTCTAAGAGTTTTATAGTGTCTGGCCTTACATTTAGGTCTTTAATCCATTTTGAGTTTATTTTTGTGTATGGTGTTAGGGAGTGTTCTAATTTCATTCTTTTACATGTAGCTGTCCAGTTTTCCCAGCACCACTTATTGAAGAGGCTGTATTTTCTCCATTGTATATTCTTGCCTCCTGTATCAAAAATAAGGTGACCATATGTGCATGGGTTTATCTCTGGGCTTTGTATCCTGTTCCATTGATCTATATTTCTGTTTTTGTGCCAGTACCATATTGTCTTGATTACTGTAGCTTTGAAGTATAGTCTGAAGTCAGGGAGCCTGATTCCTCCAGCACCATTTTTATTTCTCAGGATTGCTTTGGCTTTTCAGGGTCTTTTGTGTTTCCATACAAATTGTGAAATTTTTGGTTCTAGTTTTGTGAGAAATGGCATTGATAGTTTGATAGGGATTACACTGAATCTGTAGATTGCTTTGGGTAGTGTAGTAATTTTCACAATGTTGATTCTTCCAATCCCAGAACATAGTATATCTCTCCTTCTGTTTATATCATCTTTAATTTCTTTCATCAGTGTCTTATAGTTTTCTTCATACAGGTCCATGTCTCCTTTGGTAGGTTTATTCCTAGGTATTTTATTCTTTTTGTTACAATGGTAAATGGAAGTGTTTCCTTAATTTCTCTTTCAGATTTTTCATTAGTGTATAGGAAGGCAAGAGATTTCTGTACATTAATTTTGTACCTGGCAACTTTACCAATTTCATTGATTAGCTCTAGTAGTTTTGTGGTAGAGTCTTTAGGATTCTCTATGTATAGTATCATGTCATCAGCAAACAGTGACAGCTTTACTTCTTCTTTCCGATTTAGATTCCTTTTATTTCTTTTTCTTCTCTGATTGCTGTCACTAAAACTTCCAAAACTATGTTGAATAATAGTGGTGAGAGTGGACAACTTTGTCTTGTTCCTGATCTTTGTGGAAATGGTATCAGTTTTTCACAATTGAGAATGATGTTGGCTGTGAGTTTGTCATATATGGCCTTTATTATGTTGAGGTAAGTTCCCTCTATGCCTACTTTCTTGAGGGTTTTTATCATAAATGGGTGTTGAATTTTGTCAAAAGCTTTTTCTGGGGATTCCCTGGTGGTGCAAGTGGTTGAGAGTCCACCTGTCAATGCAGGGGACACAGGTTTGTGTCCCGGTCTGGGAAGATCCCACATGCCACGGAGCAGCTGGGCCCGTGAGCCGTGGCTGTTGAGCCTGCACGTCTGGGGCGTGTGCTCTGCAATGGGAGATGCCACAGCAGTGAGAGGCCCGCATACTGAAAAAAAAAAAAAAAAAAGCTTTTTTTTTCTCTTTTTTGAAGTTATCCTATGGTTTTTCTCCTTCAATTTGTTAATATGGTGTATCACGTTGATTGATTTGCATATATTGAAGAATCCTTGCATTCCTGGGATAAACCCCACTTGATCCTGGTGTATGATCCTTTTAATGTACTCTTGGATTCTCTTTGCTAGTATTTTGTTGAGGGGTTTTGCATCTATGGTCATCAGTGATATTGGCCTGTAGTTTTCTTTCTTTGTGACATCTTTGTCTGGTTTTGGTATCAGGGTGATGGTGGCCTCATAGAATGCATTTGGGGGTGTTCCTTCCTCTGCTATATTTTGGAAGAGTTTGAGAAGGATAGGTGTTAGCTGTTCTCTAAATGTTTGATAGAATTCTCCTGTGAAGCCATCTGGTCCTGGGCTTTTGTTTGTTGGAAGAGTTTTAATCACAGTCTCAATTTCAGTGCTTGTGATTCGTCTGTTTATATTTTCTGTTTCTTCCTGGGTCAGTCTCGGAAGGTTGTGCTTTTCTAAGAATTTGTCCATTTCTTCCAGTTTGTCCATTTTATTGGCATATAGTTGCTTGTAGTAATCTCTCATGAACCTTTGTATTTCTGCAGTGTCAGTTGTTACTTCTCCTTTTTCATTTCTGATTCTATTGATTTGAGTCTTCTCCCTTTTTTTTCTTGATGAGTCTGGCTAATGGTTTATCAATTTTGTTTATCTTCTCAAAGAACCAGCTTTTAGTTTTATTGATCTTTGCTATTGTTTCCTTCATTTCTTTTTCATTTATTTCTGATCTGATCTTCATAATTTCCTTCCTTCTGCAAACTTTGAGGTTCTTTTGTTCTTCTTTCCCTAATTGCTTTAGATGTAAGATTAGGTCGTATTTGAGATGTTTCTTGTTTCTTGAGGTAAGATTGTATTGATCTAAACTTCCCTCTTATAACTGCTTTTGCTGCATCCCATAGGTTTTGGGTGTTGTGTTTTCATTGTCATTTGTTTCTAGGTATTTTCTGATTTCCTCTTTGATTTCTTCAGTGATCTCTTGGTTATTAAGTAGTGTATTGTTTTGCCTCCATGTGTTTGTATTTTTTACCTTTTTTTTTTTTCCTGTAATTGATATCTAGTCTCATAGCTTTGTGGTCAGAAAAGATACTTGATATGATTTCAATTTTCTTAACTTTACCAGGGCTTGATTTGTGACCCAAGATATGATCTATCCTGGAGAATATTCCATGAGCATTTGAGAAGAAAGTGTATTCTGTTGTTTTTGGATGGAATGTCCTATAAATATCAATTTAGTCCATCCTGTTTAACGTATCATTTAAAGCTTGTGTTTCCTTATTTATTTTCATTTTGGATGATCTCTCCATTGGTGAAAGTGGGATGTTAAAGTCCCCTACTATGATTTTGTTACTGTCGATTTCCCCTTTTATGGCTGTTATCATTTGCCTTATGTATTGAGGTGCTCCTATGTTGGGTGCATAAATATTTACAATTGTTATATCTTCTTCTTGGATTGATCCCTTGATCATTATGTAGTGTCCTTCTTTGTCTCTTGTAATAGTCTTTATTTTCAAGTCTATTTTGTCTGATATGAGAATTGCTACTCCAGCTTTCTTTTGATTTCCATTTGTATGGAATATCTTTTTCCATCCCCTCACTTTCAATCTGTATGTGTTCCTAGGTCTGAAGTGGGTCTCTTGTAGACAGCATATATGTAGGTCTCATTTTTGTATCCATTCAGTCAGTGTATGTCTTTTGGTTTAAGCATTGAATCCATTTACATTTAAGGTAATTATCGATATGTATGTTCCTATTTCATTTTCTTAATTGTTTTGGGTTTGTTGTTGTATGTCTTTTCCTTCTCTTGTGTTTCCTGCCTAGACAAGTTCCTTTAGCATTTGTTGTAAAGCTGGTTTGGTGGTGCTGAATTCTCTCAGCTTTTGCTTGTTTGTAAAGATTTTAATTTCTCTGACGAAGCTGAATGAGATCCTTGCTGGGTAGAGTAATCTTTGTTGTAGATTTTTCCCTTTCATCACTTTAAATATGTCTTGCCACTCCCTTCTGGCTTGCAGAGTTTTTGCTGAAAGATCAGCAGTTAACCTTATAGGGATTCGCTTGTATATTGTTTTTCCCTTGCTGCTTTTAATATTTTTTCTTTGTATTTAATTTCTGATAGTTTGATTAATATGTGTCTTGGCGTGTTTCTCCTTGGATTTATCTGTATGTGACTGTCTGTGCTTCCTGGACTTGACTGACTATTTCCTTTCCCATATTAGGGAAGTTTTCAAGTATAATCTCTTCAAATATTTTCTCAGTCCCTTTCTATTTCTTTTCTTCTTCTGGGACCCCTATAATTCGAATGTTGGTGTGTTTAATGTTGTCCCAGAGGTCTGTGAGACTGTCCTTAAATCTTATTTCTTTATTCTCTTCTGTGGTAGTTATTTCCACTATTTTATCTTCCAGGTCACTTATCCGTTCTTCTGCCTCATTTTTTTTGCTTTTGATTCCTTCTAGAGAATTTTAAATTTCATTTATTGTTGTTCATCTTGTTTGTTTGCTCTTTAGTTCTTCCAGGTCCTTGTTAAATGTGTCTTGTATTTTCTCCATTCTATTTCCAGGATTTTGGATCATCTTTAGTATCATTACTCTGAATTCTTTTTCATGCAGACTGCCTATTTCCTCTTCATTTGTTTGGTATGGTGGAGTTTTACCTTGCTACTTCATCTGCTGTGTATTTCTCTGTTTTCTCATTTTACTTAACTTACTGTGTTTGGGGTCTCCTTCTCACAGGCTGCAGGTTTGTAGTTCCTATTGTTTTTGGTGTCTGCCCCCAGTGTCTGCTTGGTTCAGTGGGTTGTTTTGGCTTCCTGGTGGAGGGGACTAGTGCTTGTGTTCTGGTGGATGAGGCTGGATATTGTCTTTCTGGTGGGTAGGACCGTGTCTGTTGGTGTGGCTGTGACCTTATTATGATTTTAGGCAGCCTCTCTGCTAATGGGTTGGGTTGTGTTCCTGTCTTGCTAGTTGTTTGGCATAGGGTGTCCAGCACTGTAGCTTGCTTGTCGTTGAGTGGAGCTGGGCTTTAGCGTTTAGATGTAGATCTCTGGAAGAGCTTTTGCCATTAGATACTACGTGGAGCTGAGAGGTCTCTGGTGGACCAATGTCCTGAACTCGGCTCTCCCACCTCAGAGGCACAGGCTGACACCCGGCCAAGAGCACCAAGACCCTCTCAGCCACACAGCTCAGAAGAAAAGGGAGAATAAAAGAAAGAAAGAAAATAAATAAAATAAAGTTATTAAAATAAAAAATAATTATTAAAAATTAAAAAAAATTAAAGTAATAGAAAAAGAAAAAACAGAAAGAAAGAAAGAGGAGAGCAACCAAACCAAGAAACAAATCCACCAATGATAACAAGCACTAGAAACTATACTAAAAAAGAAAAAACAAACCAAAAAAAACCAGACAGGCAGAACCCTAAGACAAATGGTGAAAGCAAAGCTATACAGACAAAATCACACAAAGAAGCATACATGTACACACTCACAAAAAGAGAACAAGGAAAAAAATATATATATCTTTGCTTCCAAAGTCCACGGCCTCAATTTTGGGATGATTCGTTGTGTATTCAGGTATTCCACAGATGCAGGGTACCTCAAGTTGATTGTGGAGATTTAATCCACTGCTCCTGAGGCTGCTGGGAGAGATTTCCCTTTCTCTTCTTTGTTCGCACAGCTCCCAGGGTTCATCTTTGGATTTGGCCCCCACCTCTGCGTAAAGGTAGCCTGAGGGCGTCTGTTCTTAACTGATACAGGACGGGGTAAAAGGAGCAGCTGATTCGGGGGCTCAGGCTCACTCAGGCGGTGGGGAGGGAGGGGTACGGAATGCGGGGCGAGCCTGCAGTGGCAGAAGCCAGTGTGACGTTGCAACAGCCTGAGGCACGCCATGCATTCTCCCGGGAAAGTTGTCCCTGGATCACGGGACCCTGGCAGTGGCGGGCTGCACTGGCTCCCAGAGGGGAGGTGTGGATAGTGACCTGTGCTTGCACACAGGCTTCCTGGTTGCTGCAGCAGCAGCAGCCTTAGCATTTTATGCCCGTCTCTGTTGTCTGCACTAATAGCCACAGCTCGTGCCCATCTCTGGAGCTTGTTTAGGCGGTGTTCTGAATCCCCTCTCCTTGTGCACCCTGAAACAATGGTCTCTTGCCTCTTAGGCAGGTCCAGACTTCTTCCCGGTCTCCCTCCTGGCTAGCTGTGGCGCACTAGCCCCCTTCAGGCTGTGTTCACGCAGCCAACCCCAGCCCTCTCCCTGCGCTCCGACTGAAACCCGAGCCTCAGCTCGCAGCCCCGCCCACCCCGGCGGGTGAGCAGACAAGCCTCTCGGGCCGGTGAGTGCCGGTCAGCACCGAGCCTCTGTGCGGGAATCTCTCCGCTTTGCCCTCCGCACCCCTGTGGCTGCGCTTTCCTCCGTGGCCCCAAAGCTCCCACCACCACCACCCCCAGTCTCCAGCAGTGAAGGGGCTTCCTACTGTGTGGAAACTTTTCCTCCTTCACAGCTCCCTCCCACTGGTGCAGGTCCTGTCCCTATTCTTTTGTCTCTGTTTTTTTCTTTTTTCTTTTGCCCCACCCAGGTACGTGGTGAGTTTCTTGCCTTTTGGGAAGTTTGAGGTCTTCTGCCAACGTTCAGTAGGTGTTCTGTGGGGGTTGTTCCACATGTAGGTGTATTTCTGTTGTATTTGTGGGGAGGAAGGTGATCTCCAAGTCTTACTCTTCCGCCATCTTGAAGGTCTCCTCTCTAGGTCTTTTATAAGAAAGAAGATTCTCAGTCATGAGGCTAAAACAAGGAGAATATTGGGAAACATGGAGAGGTTTACAGTTTGAAATGGCAACCACCTTTTCTGAGACAATTATTTTTTAGTGTCCCAAGTTTTTCCTACCTTTTTTTTGTACTTATTCCATATCATCCATCCCTCCCTTCATCCCTCCCTCCCTCCCTCCCTCCCTTCCTTCCTTCCTTCCTTCCTTCCTTCCTTCCATATTCATCGAGCACCAAGAATGTGCCAAGCACTATAGTACGTGTAGAAGATCCAGTGATAAGACCGTTTTAGTCCCAGACCTCATAAAGCTTACAGTTTGAGTGAAGGATACAAATAAGTAAATAGGCTTTTTCAATACAGTGTGATGAGTGATTCTGTGACAGAAGTGTAAGATAACTTGAACTTATAGAAAGTGCATTCACTCCACATTTGATAGGCCAGGAAAGGATTCCTAATAAACATGATTGAGACCTGAATGATATATGGGCATAAGCAAGCATGGAGAGGTGTGTACCAGAGTGGTGGTATAGAGGGATAGAAAAGTATTTCAGCTATAGAGAATATGCAGTGGTTCAGAGCTGAGAAAGAGATAGAGATCTTTTTAAAAACTGAAGTAATACGGTATATCTGGAGTTCATTTACAAGTAGGAGGGTGGAGAAAGATAAGGCTGAAGAAGTAAGAGCTAGATCATGAAAACATTTTTGCTATTTTAAGGATTTGGATTTTATCCTGAAAGTACTGGGAAATCACTGAAGGGCTTTAATCAGTGGCATGATTGGAACCGCATTTTATAAAGTTCACTCTGGATGCAATGTAGAGAATGCATTAGAGGATAATAGAAAAGGAACATAAGGACTCATTAGGGAGGCTTTGCAGTAGTCCAGGCAAGACGATGGCCTAGTCTAGTGTAATGGCAGTAGCAATGGAGAGAAGTGGCTGGGTTTAAGATATTTTTCAGAGGTAGAAACAACTACCTTGCTACTTATTGGTTATAAGGGGTGAAGTAGAAGGAATAAAGATGATGCCCTTCTGGCTTGAGCAACTGGGAAAAAAGTGGGGCCTCACTAGGGTAGAAACTCTAAATGGAAAACAGATTTGGAGGAGTAGAGACATGATAAGTTCATTTGGGAAATACTGAATTTAGAGGCCTACAAGATGTCTAGGTAAAGATGTTCTATAGACAGTTGGATAATAGCTGTTTGAAAGTCAGGAGAGAGTTGAGCTAGAAAATCAAGAAAGAGAGCTAAGCTCAAATCTACAGAGAGCTATAGATTTGAGAGTCATTCATGTGTAGATGGTAATTGAAGCCATGGGAGTAAATGAGATCTGTGATTGAGAATGAGTGAGAGTGAGAAGAGAAGAAGGCCTCGTGATGAAGAACCATGAAGAATATCAACATTTAAGAAGGGCCTGAGAAGGAGATTTGAGTTGAAAACTAGCTTGAGTTTCTCACAATTTATTGGTTTGGGGACTATATGTATCAGCAGGAATTTTGCTGTTCGGCTTATTTGTTAAAAGGTGTATTGATATGAAATTGATGGTTGAACTTGTTAATTTTTCATTAATAGATGCAGATGAATAAATCTCAAAGTGTGGACCTTAAAGAGTTTGGTTTTACTCCAAAACCTTCTCTTACCAGTGTATCAAGGTACAAACATAATGTTAATATCTGAGGTAAAATATTCATCATAAACTCTCTGTTCCTCCAAATAGTCATTTATTCAGAGAAAGATGGTTACTGGCTACCTTTGAATCACAGTAATCATTTAGTTCCATAATGAGGTAATTACATCAGGAGAGTTTTGTTATCTTTTACACCCCAAATTTATTTAGAACTCTGCAGTCATAAGGATACTTTAACGTTGATCTAATCTGCTCTTTCCTGGAAAACTACCCATCCTATGTGTCATGCCTCCAGGCTCTCTCTGCCTTCTAAACTTAACAGATGACAAGAGTATACTTTAAAAAGAGAAGTCATGTTGGTGTATAAAGTCTAATATTTTCCATTTAGGGGCCCACTCTATATTAATAATACCTCAGATTTATAAAATACTTTATAATTTAAAAATTGCATGTTTGTGCATTCTTTCTTTTGAACTTAACAACAACCTGGCTCATAAACCAAGGTATTTTTATCCTATTATATAGATGAAATAACCAAAGCTCATATTCAGAGGGCCCTAGATGATAATTCAGCATTCTTTTCCTATTATGATACCTAAAAGATAACAGTATATGTAATTTCCCTTCCAGATAAGGGCATTCTATATGCTGGGATGACATTTAATATACTTAACAACCAGTACAGAACAGCCGCTGACCAATCAGAATAGATGCCAACACTACTTCAAGAGATCCTAACTTTTGTTATCTAACTGAAAGAAGCATTAGAAATAAATTTTTAAGTCTACACACAAATAGCAGAAATCTACCCAATGGGGGAATGTAAAGATGACTAAGTGACTTAAGTAGTTGTCACTTCCATTAAACACCTATTTTTTTACCTTTTACTACTCAGGCTAGTACAGTTTATCACAGAAGTGTTGAGTGGCTGAACCAGTTTTTTCCCATTTATATGAATCAGTAGTTTTCAAAGTCAGATTAATTTTAATATTTTCTTTAACATTTTTATGGTTTTATTTATCTTTATAAAGGTCAGAATATTTAAACATACCCGAATTGCCTATAATGGAGCAGAGGTATCAGCATGAGATCTACACAGAAGGTCAACAACCAGAACCATCTGCATATCAAGACAAAGGTAAATTACTGTTGATATTGACTTGAGAGAGAAAATGATTTCTCACTACTTTGGATTGACAAGCAATGTTATTGAAAAACCAAAATCTAAAATTATGATTATTAACTTGGCAACATTTTTCTCTTCAGTTATTGAAGCAGTTTCAAATTCTTAGGTCTGTTATTTCAGATGGTCTTGTTGTGTCTATCATAGATTCCTAAAAAATCTTTTCGTACATAGCATTGACTATTTTAATTTAAAGATAACATGAGGGCGCTTCCCTGGTGGCGCAGTGGTTGAGAGTCTGCCTGCCGATGCAGGGGACACGGGTTCGTGCCCCAGTCTGGGAAGATCCCACATGCCACGGAGCGGCTGGGCCCGTGAGCCATGGCCGCTGAGCCTGCGCATCCGGAGCCTGTGCTCCGCAACGGGAGAGGCCACAACAGTGAGAGGCCTGCATACCGCAAAAGAAAAAAAAGATAATATGAGGAAAAGCTGAGAATAGAAGGGATCTTAGGATATGCAAAGTATTAAAATGCTGAACGATTACTTTTATGTGTCTTTAGAATTATTTGAAATAATTTTTTATTTATAAAATTAGTCCATTTTATAAAATAGCTGTGTGACCTTGGGAAAATTATTTAACCTCTTTGGGCATTAGTCTTATCTTTAAAATTAAGGGATTAAATTGGGTGACCTTTAATATCTCTCCAGTTCTTAAACCTATGATTCTTACAATCTCTATGATATGTGAGACTATAACCTAGTTTGTGGGATATAGCTGGTTTGTAATATAGATTTGCTTTTTATCTGTGTCTGTCATTAAATTAAAGAGATAATGCATATAAATTCTTCAACTTTGGGCCTGTTTCATCATTTCTCCGGGTCCTGCCATTAATAGCACCATTTCTCTGGGTCATGCTACTATACTAATAGCAGTTTGTTAAAACGTGTGAGAAATAATTCTGGCCACAGAGTTGTTTGTTCAAGTGGCTGTATGTAGAAATGGTAAACTTGGGATTTTCTAAAAACAATTAATTTCATGTGTGTGTTGTTTTTGACTTCTATTGCCACTCTTTCCTTCATTCTTTCACTCTATTGCTTTCTCTGGCCATAATTTAAGATCTTAGGTAGGCAAGGGCTGGAGTACCCATCACCCCTTATGACACCGTGGCAGCCATTAGACCCAATATCAGATCAAGAAAAATCCCCTGGTCTTACCTAGACTATCAGAACATTTATCCAATTTGTTCAAAGCCTGAAAATATTATTACAACATGAATAGAAGGTGTAAGAGTGTCAATCCTCTTATTTTTATCTCTCTTCAACCTGTAGCCCTCTAACTTATTCCTTGTATGGCTGATCTATTCCCTGCCCTTCTCCACACCAGAGTTTGTCCTTCCCTACTTTCATGTTGTCTTTACATAGTTTTTCTACTTTTATTTCTTTCCCACCCACTATTCCAAATGTGATTTGTACTATGATATAAAACTCTCATCTAGATACTTTAAACCCCAATAATAACTGTATTCCTCTTTTACTGAATGCCCCCCCACCTTTTTTAAAGAAGCTGTATAATATAGTAGTTCAACTTACAGGATCTAGAGATTATCTGTCCAGGTTCAAATCCTAGCTCATTTAGTAGTTGTATGACTTTTCATAGTATACTTACCCAGTTCATCTCAATTCCCTCATCTGGTTATATTTTAGGGATTTTAGGGTTAAATGAGATAATATATATATAAAGCTCTTAGCATAATATCTGGTACTGTTATTAATAGTAATTGAGTATATTCATTATACTTTTTCCACATTAGTCTTTGGTGACAAAACATACTTTAAATGTATTCAAATACTGCTCTTAAGAATGTTTTAAGAAAAACATGGCAATTTTTATCATCTGTATTCCAGGTGCAAAAAGAGAAGAAGAAAAAATGTCAGAAATTATGAGAAAGCATGTTGAATTGTAAAATTTAAATTGTAAGGGACCTTTGTGCAATTTCTCATTTTTACAATGAAAGAAGCCAAGACTCAGAGATTAAATGACTTGCCCAAAATTACATATCTAATTAATAGCAGGACTAGAAATCGATTTCATATCTCTTGATTCCCAGGCAATGCCATTTCTATAAAATGAAATTGACTTTTAGTTATCAGTGGAGAATTGAAAATCAAACCTGTAATATACAAACTCTTTCAACTTTCCACCCCCCCAACTATTATATTTCTCTGTTTCTGCACCCATCCATAACTCTCTATTTATTTTGAAAGAAGAATTATCTTTTCTTCTATTCAAAGTTTATGTCTCCGCCTGTAATCGTAATCTTTCCAATTCTGCCCCCTCTGGGTCTTTAGAAGACCAGCTATCTCTCTCCTCTTGCCCTTATTTTCAGTATCTTCTCCCTGTGGCCTCTTTCTTTTCAGCATATAAATATGCTCAAGTCTCTTCCTTCTTTAGCTGCCAGTCCCCATCTAGCCAGATGGTCTTCTTCTCTTTATATTTCCACTGCACTTTGTACCTACTTCTCTTTTCAGGACATAGTGTACTGTGTATGTGTATCAAGGCACAAAAGTAGAATAATGTGTACTGGAGTTGTAGGTACAGTTGAAGTATAGAGAAGGATTTGGATAGTGAAGAAGAGGATAGAGGTTATTTAAAGTGAAGGAAACTCACTTTAAATTTTACTGGAGCAAGCTTGTACTAGCTTGTGAGATGATTATTAAATTTTGGGGAATCAGGCATCATTAAAGTTTAATTATATAAACTTTCAATTAAGTTAAACACAAAGGTTATAAATATTAAAAACTAACCATTTCCTAATTATTCTACTACATTTTACTGTTATCTGTATCCTTGAGATTATTTGCATCTATATTTATATCTGTATGGTGGAAATACTGTATAAAGGGGTGCTATTGTGCATTTCTTCCCAACTTTGCATTCAGTTATGTCACATTTGTAGCTTGAAATCAGTCATGGTGGGAATACTTATAGAATGGAAATCAGCAAACACTACAAATCAGGGCCTAACTTATTGTTTTGTTTATTGTTTATACCTAAGAAAGTGATGGAGAAAATGACAGTAGTGCAAACTTAATTTATCAGTGTGTCATGTCTGTAGCCCTTATATTGTGGATAGCAAGAAAAATTGAAGGAATATTCTTCTAGCATTTGAAAATTACTATCTAATTCAGCAAGGAAATTGCTTAAGGCTATGGGTGAATGAGTGAAATCCCAACATATGTCTTTATTGTTTTACTTTTATTAAAGTCAACAAAAATATCAAACAACGCTCGAATTGACGAATGTGAGAACTACATTCATTTATCAATTGTAACCATAGGTTGATACAGATACAAGAGTTTGGCAAAATTCAATGAAAACGTTCAGTGATAATCAATTAGATATATGGAATTTACAGTTAAGCATGCTGTATATTTTATCATTATTTGTAAATTGTGTGCTATACATCCTTCACATATCATACATATATATGCATAAAATTTTTTGGAGAAGCGAGTTATTGAATATTTATTAACCACTGCTATGGAAAACTGTACAAGTAAAGACATTTAGTCCCCATAACAATCATATGTATTAGGTACTATTATTTATTTATTTGGTTGTGTTGGGTCTTAGTTGCGGCAGGCAGGCTCCTTAGTTGTGGCTTGCCAGCTCCTTAGTTGTGGCATGCGAACTCTTAGTTGTGGCATGCATGTGACATCTAGTTCCCGGACCAGGGATCGAACCCGGGCCCCCTGCATTGGGAGCGGGGAGTCTTAACCTCCATGCCACCAGGGAAGTTCCATGTTAGGTACTATTATTATCCCCATTTTGCAGAGGAGAAAACTAAGCTCAGAGTTTAAATTACTTGTCTAAGATCATCCAACTAGTAAATGATAGAGATGGAATTTTCACCCAGGTAGTCTGGCTCTAAACCCAGGCTATAAACAATGGATAACACTGAGGATATTTTAGGAGGAGAAAAATAACGATATATTTTCGTAACAATACTCAAAATTAACTGCTTGTAGGGAGAAGAGATGGGGGAGGAAGCCCATTTTAGAAGCTATTACAATCCAATCTTGGAGTAAGATTATTCTTATGTAGGAATTAAGAGGGAAAATTAATTCTGTCTAGAAGAATACCTTGAAAATTAAATTTAGTGCAGCAGTCAATCACTACATGTAATACAGTAAATAAAATTGTTGAATACAATACTCAGCAATGCTTTAGAACACTACTACTCAAGACCTCTGTTTAGTAGTTGAAAGATGTGTTTGATATGTCAATAAATAATGATGCTTAAGGTTTAAAAAGTGCCTATACTCATTTATACATACACATGACAGATTTTTCTAGACGGACCTATTCTACAACTTCAAATGAGAAAGCCCCTCAAACAATGCTGTTCAACAGAAATCTTAATTCATCTGAAAACCAGGATTTGACAGATGCGGTTAAAAGTAATTCTTCATTTTCAGAAGTTTTGAATGTGAACTTTGAATTGGGAAATGAAGTTTGGGATGATTTTGATGATGAAAGCTTAATAGAAGTTACTAGCTTTTCAACTGATACCGAGAAGACAAAAACATCAGGTAAATAGCATGAAATATATTTCATTTGTATGTATTTTTGTATATATGTGTGTATTGTATTTGAAATATATGTTAGAATGAAATAATTTTATGAGAAATTATTTGAATATTTTTCAGTTAAGCTTTTGGGACTAATTTTCTTTTTCTTTTTTGTGTGCTTGCTTAATTAGTTTCAGTTTGTTAAGATTATAATTTTTAGCAAAAGTAAAATTTGACCCTCCCGCAAATAACATTTCCTATCCCTAGGGACAGAGGTCAAGGTTATTCCATGATGACGATATAGGAAATGAGCTTTTTCTATTCTATTGCTCCTTATCTTGTTAAAGGCTCTATTCAAATTCAGATTGTTTATCGAATTTTCCCTCATAAAACAGACTATCCTGCTCTCCATTTTAAGATCTCACGTAGTCTGGTAATGTTTGTGAAAAACAAAAATGTTCCAATTTAAAAAATATTCTTTTTTCACATGCTAGCAAAAAACATAAAAGATAACTTTTATTTCTAATAGAAATATTGACTTTTCAAGTATAAATAAATAAACAGGAAAAGATTAGTTTCTCTTGTATTAGATATTGTGCTTAAATCATATACAATCCAAAAATAATGGGACTAGGCCTTTGAGTTACCGGTGAATCCACTCTATTTCACCAAAACAGAGAAGTGAAAATCTTGGTAAGTATAAGACAAGATAGGGAGACAGAGATACTCTTTCCCAGGATGGCTGACAGATGGAAATCAGTCCCTTGCAGACCATTGAAAATATTGAATGAACTTCGACTTGATCATTTACATGGCTTAAAAATAAATAAATAAATAAATAAATAAATGATAGTGGTTGGGGACCTTTTAATATAGTGACTAAAAAAATAAGCTAATCTATGTGTTTTATAGATTTATTCTCTTAACTTTGCTCCTTTGTTTTGTCTATGCACATTAAATTTGATTATTGAGAAGAATTTTTCATTCTCTCCTTAACCAGATCATATCTGTTTGGAGAGATATTCTACTCTAGAATAGAATACAGATATTCTATTCGATTTATTTCAAAATGTTATCTTTTTACCTAGGATTTGGAAACCCTTTGAGTTCAAGAACCAGGGAAAGTAAGCTACCCTTTGAAGAATCAAAAAGCAAATTCCAAAGAGAAATGTCAAACAGGCAAGTTTTAGAACTTTATTTTCAAACACTTACAACTTTATATCCTCCTGACATGTAAGTGGAGATGGGGATAAAGTCATTAGATGTCAGAGAAGCAATAGGGCATTAGCCAACTTAAAGCCTCTTAATCTTAGAGCTGTGTTTCTCAAAGTGCTGTTGTCATACCACCCCAAAATCAAAATTACCCAGGGGTGCACATTAAAAATGCACATTCTTGGGCCCCATGCTAGACTTACTGAATCATGGTCTCTGGGGCTGGAGCTGAGGAATCTTCACTTTTTATAAGATGTGAAAACTGAATAGGAGTTTGACAGGTAGAAAAGAGGAGACTAAGGCATTCCAGGTAGAAGAGTACATGTAAAGGGATAAGGCTTGAAAAGGCATCCCATGCTCAAGGGTCAGTAAAGTGTGGCCTATGTAGCCATAGAATTAAGGCTGAGATTGCTGAGGTCTGTGAGGGGCCATGAATGCCATATTTAGATACCTGTGCTGTATCCAGTAGGTCAGGGGTCACAAGCTCAAACTGCCTTTGGGATTTCATGGGCCAAGGTTAACTGTAGAGTGTCCCATCTAAAGGGAATAACCACTACTCTGCTCCAACCAGTTGTTGCTGTACAGGAAATGTGAGTCTAGTGTTGTCAAATATCCTGATTTTTAAAAAAAGCTAAGATCAAAAATTTATGTGACATCTCCTAACTTAAAAAATTTTTTAACATCTTTATTGGAGTATAATTGCTTTACAGTGGTGTGCTAGTTTCTGCTTTACAGCAAAGTGAATCAGTTATACATATACATATGTCCCCATATCTCTTCCCTCTTGCATCTCTGTCCCTCCCACCCTCCCTATCCCACCCCTCTAGGTGGTCACAAAGCACTGAGCTGACCTCCCTGTGCTATGCGGCTGCTTCCCACTAGCTATCTATTTTACGTTTGGTAGTGTATATATGTCCATGCCACTCTCTCACTTTGTCCCAGCTTACCCTTCCCCCTCCTCATATCCTCAAGTCCATTCTCTAGTAGGTCTGCATCTTTATTCCCATCTTGCCCCTAGGTTCTTCATGACCATTTTTTTTTTTTAGATTCTATATATATGTGTTAGCATACAGTATTTGTTTTTCTCTTTCTGACTTACTTCGCTCTGTATGACAGTCTCTAGGTCCATCCACCTCACTACAAATAACTCAGTTTCATTCCTTTTTATGGCTGAGTAATATCCCATTGTATATATGTGCCACATCTTCTTTATCCATTCATCTATTGATGGACACTTCGGTTGCTTCCATGTCCTGGCTACTGTAAACAGAGCTGCAATGAACATTTTGGTACATGACTTTTTCTGAATTATGGTTTACTCAGGGTATATGCCCAGCAGTGGGATTGCTGAGTCATATGTTAGTTCTATTTTTAGTTTTTTAAGGAACGTCCATACTGCTCCCCATAGTGGCTGTATCAATTTACATTCCCACCAACAATGCAAGAGGGTTGCCTTTTCTGCACACCCTGTCCAGCATTTATTGTTTGTAGATTTTTTGATGATGGCCATTCTGACTGGCGTGAGATGATATCTCATTGTAGTTTTGATTTGCATTTCTCTAATGATTAATGATGTTGAGCATTCTTTCATGTGTCTGTTGGCAATCTGTATGTCTTCTTTGGAGAAATGTCTATTTAGGTCTTCTGCACATTTATGGATTGGGTTGTTTGTTTTTTTAATGTTGAGCTGCATGAGCTGCTTGTAAATTTTGGAGATTAATCCTTTGTCAGTTGCTTCATTTGCAGATATTTCTCCCATTCTGAGGGTTGTCTTTTGGTCTTGTTTATGGTTTCCTTTGCTGTGCAAAAGCTTTGAAGTTTCATTAGGTCCCATTTGTTTATTTTTGTTTTTATTTCCATTTCTCTAGGAGGTGGGTCAAAAAGGATCTCGCTGTGATTTATGTCATAGTGTGTTCTGCCTATGTTTTCCCCTAAACTTTGATGGTGTCTGGCCTTACATTTAGGTCTTTAATCCATTTTGAGTTTATTTTTGTGTATGGTGTTAGGGAGTGTTCTAATTTCATTCTTTTACATGTAGCTTTCCAGTTTTCCCAGCACCACTTATTGAAGAGGCTGTATTTTCTTCACTGTATATGCTTGCCTCCTTTATCAAAGATAAGGTGACCATATGTGCATGGGTTTATCTCTTGGCTTTCTATCCTGTTCCATTGATCTATATTTCTGTTTCTGTGCCAGTACCATACTGTCTTGATTACTCTAGCTTTGTAGTATAGTCTGAAGTCAGGGAGCGTGATTCCTCCAGCTCCGTTTTTCTGTCTCAAGATTGCTTTGGCTATTCTGGGTCTTTTGTGTTTCCACACAAATTGTGAAATTTTTTGTTCTAGTTCTGTGAAAAATGCCAGTTGTAGTTTGATACGGATTGCATTGAATCTGTAGATTCCTTTGGGTAGTAGAGTCATTTTCACAATGTTGATTCTTCCAATCCAAGAACATGGTATATCTCTCCATCTATTTGTATCATCTTTAATTTCTTTCACCAGTGTCTTATGGTTTTCTGCATACAGGTCTTTTGTCTCCTTAGGTAGGTTTATTCCTAGGTATTTTATTCTTTTTGTTGCAATGGTAAATGGGAGTGTTTCCTTAATTTCTCTTTCAGATTTTTCATCAGTAGTGAATAGGAATGCAAGAGATTTCTGTAGTTTTGTATCCTGCTACTTTACCAAATTCATTGATTAGCTCCAGTAGTTTTCTGGTAGCATCTTTAGGATTCTCTGTGTTAAGTATCATGTCATCTACAAACAGTGACAGCTTTACTTATTCTTTCCCAATTTGGATTCCTTTTATTTCTTTTTCTTCTCTGATTGCTGTGGCTAAAACTTCCAAAACTATGTTGAACAATAGTGGGACAGTGGGCAACCTTGTCTTGTTCCTGATCTTAGTGGAAATGGTTTCAGTTTTTCACCATTGAGGACGATGTTGAGTGGGTTTGTAATATATGGCCTTTATTATGTTGAGGAAAGTTCCCTCTATGCCTACTTTCTGGTGAGTTTTTATCATAAATGGGTTTTGAATTTTGTCGAAAGCTTTCTGTGCATCTATTGAGATGATCATATGCTTTTTCTCCTTCAATTTGTTAATATGGTGTATCACGTTGATTGATTTGCATGTATTGAAGAATCCTTGCATTCCTGGGATAAACGCCACTTGACCATAGTGTATTATCCTTTCAATGTGCTGTTGGATTCTGTTCGCTAGTATTTTCTTGAGGAGTTTTGCATCTATGTTCATCAGTGATATTGGCCTGTAGTTTTCTTTCTTTGTGACATCTTTGTCTGGTTATGGTATCAGAGTGATGATGGCCTCGTAGAATGAGTTTGGGAGTGTTCCTCCCTCTGCTATATTTTGGAAGAGTTTGAGAAGGATAGGTGTTAGCTGTTCTCTAAATGTTTGATAGAATTCTCCTGTAAAGCCATCTGGTCCTGGGCTTTTGTTTGTTGGAAGATTTTTAATCACAGTTTCAATTTCAGTGTTTGTGATTGGTCTGTTCATACTTTCTATTTCTTCCTGGTTCAGTCTCGGAAGGTTGTGCATTTCTAAGAATTTGTCCATTTCTTCCAGTTTGTCCATTTTATTGGCATATAGTTGCTTGTAGTAATCTCTCATGAACCTTTGTATTTCTGCAGTGTCAGTTGTTACTTCCCCTTTTTCATTTCTAATTCTATTGATTTGAATCTTCTCCCTTTTTTTCTTGATGAGTCTGGCTAATGGTTTATCAATTTTGTTTATCTTCTCAAAGAACCAGCTTTTAGTTTTATTGATCTTTGCTATCGTTTCCTTCGTTTCTTTTTCATTTATTTCTGATCTGATCTTGATAATTTCTTTCCTTCTGCTAACTTTGGGGTTTTTTGTTCTTCATTCTCTAATTGCTTTAGGTGTAAGGTTAGGTTGTCTATATGAGATGTTTCATGTTTTTTAAGGTAAGATTGTATTGCTATAAATTTCCCTCTTATAACTGCTTTTGCTGCATCCCATAAGTTTTGGGTGTCGTGTTTTCATTGTCATTTGTTTGTAGATATTTTTTGATTTCCTCTTTGATTTCTTCAGTGATCTCTTTGTTATTAAGTAGTGTGTTGTTTAGCCTCCATATGTTTGTATTTCTTACAGATTTTTTCCTATAATTGATATCTAGTCTTGTAGCGTTGTGGTTGGAAAAGATACTTGATACGATTTCAATTTTCTTAACTTTACCAAGGCTTGATTTGTGACCCAAGCTATGATCTATCCTGGAGAATGTTCCATGAGCACTTGAGAAGAATGTGTATACTATTGTTTTTGGATGGAATATCCTATAAATATCAATTAAGTCCATCTTGTTTAATGTATCATTTAAAGCTTGTGTTTCCTTATTTATTTTCATTTTGGATGATCTGTCCATTGGTGAAAGTGAGGTGTTAAAGTCCCCTACTATGATTGTGTTACTGTCAATTTCCCCTTTTATGGCTGTTAGTAATTGCCTTATGTATTGAGGTGCTCCTATGTTGGGTGCATAAATATTTACAATTGTTATATCTTCTTCTTGGATTGATCCCTTGATCATTATGTAGTGTCCTTCTTTGTCTCTTGTAATTGTCTTTATTTTAGAGTCTATTTTATCTGATATGAGAATTGCTACTCCAGCTTTCTTTTGATTTCCATTTGCATGGAATATCTTTTTCCATCCCCTCACTTTCAGTCTGTATGTGTCCCTAGGTCTGAAGTGGGTCTCTTGTAGACAGCATATATACGTGTCTTGTTTTTGTATCCATTCAGCCAATCTGTGTCTTTTGGTTGGAGCATTTATTCCTTTACATTTAAGGTAATTATCAATATGTATGTTCCTATTTCCACTGTCTTAATTGTTTTTGGTTTATTATTGTAGGTCTTTTCTTTCTCTTTTGTTTCCTCCCTGGAGATGTTCCTTTAGCATTTGTTGTAGAGCTGGTTTGGTGGTGCTGAATTCTCTTAGCTTTTGCTTGTCTGTAAAGCTTTTAATTTCTCCATCAAATCTGAATAAGATCCTTGCTGGGTAGAGTAATCTTGGTTGTAGGTTTTTCTCCTTTATCACTTTAAATATGTCCTGCCACTCCCTTCTGGCTTGCAGAGTTTCTGCTGATAGACCAGCTGTTAACCTTATGGGGATTCCCTTATGTTTTATTTGTTGTTTTTTCATTGCTGCTTTTAATATTTGTTTTTTGTATTTAACTTTTGATAGTTTGATTAATATGTGTCTTGGCATGTTTCTCCTTGGATTTATCCTATATGTGACTGCCTGTGCTTCCTGGACTTGATTGACTATTTCTTTTCCCATATTAGGGAAGTTTTCAAGTATAATCTCTTGAAATATTTTCTCAGTCCCTTTCTCTTTCTCTTCTTCTGGGACCCCTATAATTCGAATGTTGGCGCGTTTAATGTTGTCCCAGAGGTCTCTGAGACTGTCCTCAATTCTTTTCATTCTTTTTTCTTTATTTTGCTCTGTGGTAGTTATTTCCACTATTTTATCTTCCAGTTCATTTATCCATTCTTCTGCCTCAGTTATTCTGCTATTGACCCCTTCTAGAGAATTTTTAATATCATTTATTGTTTTGTTCATCACTGTTTGTTTTCTCTTTAGTTTTTCTAAGTCCTTGTTAAATGTTTCTTGTATTTTCTCCATTCTATTTCCAAGATTTTGGATTATCTTTACTATCATTACTCTGAATTCTTTTTCAGGTAGACTGCCTATTTCCTCTTCATTTGTTAGGTCTGGTGGGTTTTTGCCTTGCTCCTTCATCTGCTGTGTGTTTTTCTGTCTTCTCATTTTGCTTAACTTACTGTGGTTGGGGTCTCCTTTTCACAGGCTACAGGTTTGTAGTTCTCGTTGTTTCTGATGTCTGTCCCCAGTGGCTAAGGTTTGTTCAGTGGGTTGTGTAGGCTTCCTGGTGAAGGGGCCTGGTGCCTGTGTTCTTGTGGGTGAGGCTGGATCTTGTCTTTCTGTTGGGCAGGTCCACGTCTGGTGGTGTGTTTTGGGGTGTCTGTGGACTTATTATGATTTTAGGCAGCCTCTCTGCTAATTGATGGGGTTTTGCTCCTGTCTTGCTAGTTGTTTGGCATAGGGTGTCCAGCATTGTAGTTTGCTGGTTGTTGAGTGGAGCTGGGTCTTGGCATTGAGATGGAGATCTCTGGGAGATTTTCGCCATTTGATATTACGTGGAGCTGGAATGTCTCTTGTGGACCAGTGTCCTGAACTCGGCTCTCCCACCTCAGTGGCACAGCCCTGCCGCCTGGCTGGAGCACCAAGAGCCTGTTCTCCACGCAGCTCAGAATAAAAGGGAGGAAAAAAAGAAAGAATGAAGATAAAATAAAATAAAGTTATTAAAATAAAAAATAATTATTTAGAAAAAGAATTTTTAAGTATTAAAAAAAAATTAAAATGAACAGACAGAACCCTAGGACAAATGGTAAAAGCAAAGCTATACAGACAAAATCACACACAGAAGCATATACATACACACTCACAAAAAGAGAAAAAGGGAAAAAAAGATATATATATTGTTGCTCCCAAAGTCCACCTCCTCAATTTGGGATGATTCGTTGTCTATTCAGCTACTCCACAGATGCAGGGTACATGAAGTTGATTGTGGAGATTTAATCCGCTGCTTCTGACGCTGCTGGGAGAGATTTCCCTTTCTCTTCTTTGTTCACACAGCTCCCAGGGGCTCAGCTTGGATTTGGACCCGCCTCTGCGTGTAGGTTCCCTGAGGGTGACGTCTTGGTTCAGACAGGATGGGGTAAAGGAGCAGCTGATTTGGGGGCTCTGGCTCACTCAGGGAGGGGTACGGGTGTGGGGCGACCTGAGGTGGCAGAGGCTGGTGTGACGTTGCACCAGCCTGAGGTGCGCTGTGCGTTCTCCCGGGGAAGTTGTCCCTGGATCCCGGGACCCTGGCAGTGGCGGGCTGCACAGGCTCCCCGGAGGGGAGGTATGGATAGTGACCTGTGCTCGCACACAGGCTTCTTGGTGGCGCAGCAGCAGCCTTAGTGTCTCATGCCCGTCTCTGGGGTCCGCGCTGATAGCCGCAGCTCATTCCCGTCTCTGGAGCTCCTTTAAGCGGTGCTCTTAATCCCTCTCCTTGTTCACCAGGAAACAAAGAGGCAAGAAAAAGTCTCTTGTCTCTTTGGCAGTTCCAGACCTTTTCCCGGACTCCCTCCCGGCTAGCCGTGGTGCACTAGCCCTCTCAGGCTGTGTTCACGCAGCCAACCCGTAGTCCTCTCCCTGGGATCTGACCTCCGAAGCCCAAGCCTCAGCTCCCAGCCCCCGCCCGCCCCGGCGGGTGAGCAGACAAGCCTCTCGGGCTGGTGAGTGCAGGTCGGCACCGATCCTCTGTGCGGGAATCTCTCCGCTTTGCCCTCTGCACCCCTGTTGCTGTGCTCTGCTCGATGGCTCCGAAGCTTACCCCGTCCAACACCTGCAGTCTCCGCCCGTGAGGTCTTCTGCCAGCATTCAGTAGGTGTTCTGTAGGAGTTGTTCCACATGTAGATGTATTTCTGATGTATTTGTGGGGAGGAAGGTGATCTCCTCGTCTTACTCTTCCGCCATCTTGAAGCTCTCCTGACTTCTAAATTTTGACAGCTAATTTTTTAAAATGTGATATGGTCTGCAGCACCCTGTCTCCAAAAAATAATAATAATGCTTGTAGACCGTATGTAGCCTAGAAGCCTCTAGTATTTGATCTCCATAGTAAGCAGTGAGGGCCCATCCAAAATATTTAAGCATAGCTTATATAATTTAATCAGAAAAAATCATTCTAGCAGTGATATCTAGAATGATTTGTAGAGGGTGGGACCAGCAGGGACATGGTGGCCAATGAGAAAGGCAGGCTATGATGAGGCCTCAACTATGGTAGAGGTGATAGAAACTGAGAGGTAGAATTGGATTTTTCAAATATTTCATAGATAACACAGATTAGATTTAGCAATTGCTAGAATATGGTAGTAAAGGAAGAGGGAAGAATAAATGGCAAGTGGGTAGATTGAGGTATTATCTGAGAATATAGAACATAGACGTTTGGGAAAAAAACAATAATTTTAGAAATGTTCAACTTAAAGTATCTTTTTTTAATTTTAATTTTATTTTTTATACAGCAGGTTCTTATTAGTTATCTATTTTATACATATTAGTGTATATATGTCAATCCCAATCTCCCAATTCATCACACCACAACCACTGCCCATCCCCGCAACTTACAGTATCTTTGTAGAAATGTAAAATGCATTTGGATATTGGACCTGATTAGAACTCAAGGGAGAGAAATTATAGCCAGAGCCAAAACTTTCCCGCAGAGAAGAAACATTTATAACTTTTTATTCATGGTCCAACTTTCTACTTAAGGATTATTTATGTCTCCTGCTTTAAAAAAGTTTTAAATTTGTGGTGTCTTTTGATACTTTTGCTATTATTTAGTCATTTTACTGAACATTAGTATCAACATCACAGAATCATAGATTTCAGAGAATTCCAGAGTTGAAGGAGCTTAACTTAAATGTCATTTAGTCTCCCCACCACTGGATCCTTGAATAACCATCCAACATCACTGGCAAGTAATCATGCTATTTCTACCAAGACAACTTCAGTGTCCAGGAGCTTATTCACTCTTCAGTGCTTGTTCCATGTTTGGATCTCTCAGATCACTCAATAGCTTTTAAAAATATTTGTCTAAAATTTGTCTTTTTATCATTTCCATTCATTGCTTCTAACTCTGAGTCATACGGAATAAACAGATTAGAAACATCAAAGTGGAACAAAGCCGGGGGTATAGAGAAAATAGGCAAATCACAAGTAGGAAGATAACAAGGCATATGAACAGTTTTGTGCACCACACTTTTAGAAAAGTACAAATAATTTTGGGAGAGTTTAGAAGTGACCAACAGAAGATAAGTGGGTTTAAAAAGGAATCCTATCAAGAAACCTCTGAGAAACCGATGCCAGAAGTTGCTGCTAGGAAGAAGGCCTGTGGGATCTGAGGGTCTGAGATGAAAAGGAAACACATGCTTTTCCTTTCATACCCTTTTTACTATATTAATTCCTTGCCATTCATCAGAGATAAAGAGATTCAGTTCTTATCAATATATGTGATTCTTCCCTACCCATATCTACTGTTTATTGCTCCTTGTATGACTGTCACATTTTAGCCTGTGTCAGCTTAAATTGTCTCCTCCTCATAGTGGCATCCATGACCACTTTTTTAAGTTGGTTTGTGCCTCCACACTGTTATTTCCTATAATATTGCTCATTTCATTTCTTTCATATCACTTCAGGATCTATAATTATATTTATTGTTTATTCATTGTCTGTCCCTCTATAGATGATAACCACCTGAGGATGTGTTTACTATTTCATACTTAACTCCTAGTATAATGTGTGGCATACAGTAGTGAATAATAAATGTTTTTTAATGAATTAATTTAATACAAAAGATTAAAGGTGAATTCTAGTATACAGTTATACATGAACAGATAGGTAGAGATGTCTGTCTACAGTGAGACCAGAATAGGGAAAGGAGACTAAAAGTTAAGCAAATGGGATTTAGAAAAGATTTACAAACTGCTAGATGATAGATGATTAAGCATAAGACAGTTTTAATGAAAATTGTTGAATGATTATTTCTGTAGGCCTTTAAAAGTAAATTCTTATTTTATTTGGACTATATAAGTTGTTGTTTTATCTAAAAGAAAGGAGATACACCAAGTTCTCCATGAGTCTAAGAAATGGAGCATTAATTTTGGGGTTGATAAATATGATAAACTCGAATCATATTTTCCAAAGGATCACTGTTGATCTAAATTAGAATGGTTTGTTTCTCTTATTTGCTGTATTTTATAAATAATTCATTTTGATTTTTAGTTTTGTTTCATCACATGAGAAGCCAGATATTTATTTATCAAATTCTGCTATGTCCAAGTTTGCTGCATCCTCCATGACAAAATTACCTCAACAAGCTGGAAATGCAAGTATTATAAGAAGAAGCACTTCTTTGTTTTTCTTTTAAATACCACCTGAATAGTTAAACCTTCAATGATTGCTAAATTTTTTAACCTCAAAATATAGGTCCATTTACAAGAAATAAAACAACAAAGTCTGTCGCCAGAGATTGAAAAGCTGTACTTTACTCACTCTGAAAAAATACCAAGCTCTTCAAATTTTGTTAAGAATGTGGATTGCTTTATTAGAAACAATGAACATAAAAAGGAGATTGATTTGAGGTAAGAACTCTTTAAAAATATTTTGAAACTACACTAGTAAGAACTTTTTACAAAGAAGTTCAGTATTCCTTTTCCCTTGTTTCATTTTAAAGATCAGAACCTAAATGTTTTGTTTACTTAAAGACATTAAAATTTTAGACCACTGGTGAGCTAAGCTCCTTAAGATAATTCAAAATATCAAATATCTCAATTTTTGAGAACCCATATATTTGATGCTAGTAATTAAAACATATTATGCTGATAAACTTTTTTTTATTGATTTGAATACACTATGTTGATAATATGAAGTGTAAGGTCACTTGAGAAATGAGATCAGCTAATTTTTTTAACATTCAAGTTGTATTTTAGCCACCAAGTTCTGTTACAATTCTACAGATTCAAAGTGAAAGTCAGACTAAGTCTAATCAGTGCCCCGACTGCTGGTCATTTTTATGGGTAACTCTAGCAGTTTCCCTCTCCTTGAATAGTCAAGGTTTATAGACCTGTTGACACTGATTAAATGGCATTACTTTCCAATATGTTTAAAGAAATATCTAAGATACTTCTCTCTATCTTTCACAGTTTATGAAATCTTAATTTGCTCCAGACTTTTTACAAGGTTATGCACATTGAAGTTTGTTTAATAAATTAACCCTCTCAGCAATCTTCAAGTTTATCCATTTTATATTTATTATTATTTATTATAAATTTAAAAATAAATTGTGTTACAAAAATAGTTATTTTTACGTTTGCTTTTTCCTCCAGTCGGTATTATCCTGAGGATGAAGCTGATGAAATGAAGTCTTTTCTGGGAATATTTGATGGTATTTTCTAAAACAATCAGACAAAAATGCTTTTTATATTAATAAGACAAAGCATTAAAGACACTTAATTACAAAGCATGATTTTTATTTTTAAAAAGTAGTTCATATTTGTTCAGATTTTTTTTCTCTTGGATTTGACTAGCTTTGTTGACTCTTTTGCAACAAAATATTTGGACTGATTTTTTTCCCCATCATATTGATAACTTCATATAAAGCACTTTTGCAGTGGCTTTGTTTCATAAGTTGATAATTGTTTCATTTAGAAATAATTATTGGTTATTAATTGGGTTTTGACGGGAACAAATTTTATATTTTCTTAACAAGAAAAAAGGTATTCTGTGAAAGCAAAATGATGGTAGGTCAGTGAATCTATTTACTTTATCGATTTTTCACCATTATTGTTTTGTTTTACTAAAGATTTTTAAGAATCCAATGGCTGTCTGAACCTATTGTTATATCATTTCAAGCAACAATAAATGAAACATTAATCAATATAGACTGTTTAACTTGTTTCTCAATGTGACAAATTCTAAAACTTTGTTATGTTGAATTTTACTATAGCAAAAGCTATTTTATGTTATTTTCCAGTGGGATATATCTCAAATTTCTTTACTGTTAAGTAGTATATAGGCACTGTAAACAATGTTTATATATAGTTGGGTTTTGCTTTCTAATCCAGTCTGACCATCTTTGACTGTTTAGATCATTTACATTTTTAAATTTTCCCATGAATCCATAGTATGGGTTAATTTTATCTTTTTTTCTTATTAGTTACTTATTTTATACATAATGTGTATATATCAATCCCAATCTCCCAATTTATCCCATTACCACCACCACCCACCTACCACTTTCCCCCACTGGTGTCCATATGTTTGTTCTCTACATCTGTGTCTCTATTTCTGCCTTGCAAACTGGTTCATCTGTACCATTTTTTCTAGATTCCACATATATGCATTAATATACGATATTTGTTTTTCTCTTTCTGACTTCACTCTGTAGGACAGTCTCTAGGTCCATCCACGTCTCTACAAATGACCCAATTTCATTCGTTTTTATGACTCATTGTCATAAATATACATATAAATGACTCATTGTATATATGTACCACATCTTCTTTATCCATTCGTCTGTCGATGAGCATTTAGGTTGCTTCCATGACCTGGCTATTGTAAATAGTGCTGCAATGAACATTGGGATGCCTGTGTCTTTTTGAATTATGGTTTTCTCAGGGTATATGCCCAGTAGTGGGATTGCTGGGTCATATAGTAATTCTATTTTTAGTTTTATAAAGAACCTGCATACTGTTCTCCATAGTGGCTGTTTCAATTTACATTCCCACCAACAGTGCAAGAGGGTTCCCTTTTCTCCACACCTTCTCCAGCATTTGTTGTTTGTAGATTTTCTGATGATTCCCATTCTAACTGGTGTGAGGTGATACCTCTTTGTAGTTTTGATTTGCATTTCTCTAATAATTAGTGATATTGAGCAACTTTTCATGTGCCTCTTGGCCATCTGTATGTCTTCTTTGGAGAAATGTCTATTTAGGTCTTGAGCCCATTTTTTGATTGGGTTGTTTGTTTTATTAATATTGAGCTGCATGAGCTGTTTATATAATTTGGAGATTAATCCTTTGTGTCTTGATTTGTTTGCAAATATTTTCTCCCATTCTGAGGGTTGTCTTTTCGTCCTGTTTATAGTTTCCTTTGCATGCAAAAGGTTTTAAGTTTCATTAGGTCCCATTTGTTTATTTTTGTTTTTATTTCCGTTACTCTAGGAGGTAGATCAAAAAAGATCTTGCTGTGATTTATGTCAAAGCATGTTCTTCCTATATTTTCCTCTAAGAGTTTTATAGTGTCAGGTCTTACACTTAGGTCTTTAATCCATTTTGAGTTTATTTTTGTATATAGTATTAGGGAGTGTTCTAATTTCATTCTTCTACATGTAGCTGTCCAGTTTTCCCAGCACCACTTACTGAAGAGACTGCCTTTTCTCCATTGTATATCCTTGCGTCCTTTGTCATAGATTAGTTGACCATAGATGTGTGAATTTATCTCTGGGCTTTCTGTCCTGTTCCACTGATCTATATTTCTGTTTTTGGGCCAGTACCATATTGTTTTGATTATGGTAGCTTTGTAGTATAGTCTGAAGTCAGCAAGTCTGATTCCTGCAGCTCTCTTTTTTTTTCCCTCAAGATTACTCTGACTACTCAGGGTCCTTTGTGTCTCCATACAAATTTGAAGATTTTTTGTTCTATTTCTGTAAAAAAATGCCATTGGTAATTTGACAGGGATTGCATTGAATCTGTAGATTGCTTTGGGTAGTATAGTCATTTTCACAATATTCATTCTTCCAATCCAAGAACATGGTATATCTCTCCATCTGTTTGTGTCATCTTTGATTTCTTTCCTCATTGTCTTGTAGTTTTCTGAGTACAGGTATTTCATCTCCCTAGGTAGGTTTATTCCTAGTATTTTATTCTTTTTGTTGCAATGGTGAAAGGGATTGTTTCCTTAATTTCTCTTTCTGATCTTTTGTTGTTAGTGTATAGGAATGCAACAGATTTCTGTGCATTAATTTTATATCCTGCAACTTTACCAAATTCATTGATTAGCTCTAGTAGTTTTCTGGTGGCATCTTTAGGATTATCTATGTATTGTATCATGTCATCTGCAAACAGTGACAGTTTTACTTCTTTTTTTCCAATTTGGATTCCTGTTATTTCTTTTTCTTCTCTGATTGCTGTGGCTAGGACTTCCAAAACTATGTTGAATAATAGTGGTGCTACTGGACGTCCTTGTCTTGTTCCTGATCTTAGAGGAAATGGTTTCAGTTTTTCACCATTGAGAATGATGGTTACCGTAAGTTTGTCATATATGGCCTTTATTATGTTGAAGTGCATTCCCTCTGTGCCCACTTTCTGGAGAGTTTTTATCATAAATGGGTGTTGAATTTTTTCAAAAGCTTTTTCTGTATCTATCAAGATGATCATATGGTTTTTATTCTTCAGTTTGTTAATATGGTGTATCACATTGATTGATTTGCATATATTGAAGGATCCTTGCATCCCTGGGATAAATCCCACTTGATCATGATGTACGATCCTTTTAATGTGTTGTTGGATTCTGTCTGCTAGTATTTTGTTGAGGATTTTTGTGTCTATGTTCATCAGTGATATTTGTTTGTAATTTTTTTTTTTGTAGTGTCTTTGTCTGGTTTTGGTATCAGGGTGATAGTGGCCTCATAGAATGAGTTTGGGAGTGTTCCTTCCTCTGCAGTTTTTTGGAAGAGTTTGAGGATGGGTGTTAGCTCTTCTTTAAATGTTTGATAGAATTCACCTGTGAAGCCATCTGGTCCTGGACTTTGGTTTGTTAGGTGATTTTTAATCCCAGTTTCAATTTCATTACTTGTGATTCATCTGTTCATATTTTCAATTTCTTCCTTGTTCAGTCTTGGAAGGTTTTACCTTTCTAAGAATTTGTCCATTTCTTCCAGGTTTTCCATTTTATTGCCATAGAGTTGCTTGTAGTAGTCTCTTATGATCCTTTGTATTTCTGCAGTGTCCATTGTAACTTCTCCTTTTTCATTTCTAATTTTATTGATTTGAGTCCTCTCCCTCTTTTTCTTGATGAGCCTGGCTAAAGGTTTATCAATTGTGTTTATCTTCTCAAGGAACCAGGTTTTAGTGTTATTGATCTTTGCTATTGTTTTCTTTGTTTCTATTTCATTTATTTCTTCTCTGGTCTTTATGATTTCTTTCCCTCTACTAACTTTGGGTTTTGTTTGTTCTTCTTTCTCTAGTTTCTTTAGGAGCAAAGTTAGATTGTTTATTTGAGGTTTCCATGTTTCTTGAGGTAGGCTTGTATTGCTATAAACTTCCCTCTTAGAACTGCTTTAGCTGAATCCCACAGGTTTTGTATCATCATGTGTTTGTTGTCATTTGTCTCTAGGTATTTTTTGATTTCCTCTTTGATTTCTTAAGTGATCTCTTGGTTATTTAGTAACATATTGTTTAGCCTCCATGTATTTGTGTTTTTTCCCCTGTAATATATTTCTAATCTCATAGCATTGTGGTCGGAAAAGATGCTTGATATGATTTCAGTTTTCTTAAATGTACCGAGGGTTGATTTGTGATCCAAGATGTGATCTATCCTGGAGAATGCTCCGTGTGCACCTGAGAAGAAAGTGTAACCTGCTGTTTTGGGATGGAATGTCCTATAAATATCAATTAAACCTACCTGGTCTATTGTGTCATTTAAAGCTTGTGTTTTCTTATTAGTTTTCTGTCTGGATGATCTGTCCATTGGTGTAAGTGAGGTGTTAAATTCCCCCACTATTATTGTGTTACTGTCAATTTCCTCTTTTATAGCTGTTAGCATTTGCCTTATGTATTGAGGTGCCTCTACGTTGGGTGCCTATATATTTATAATTGCTAGATCTTCTTCTTGGATTGATCCCTTGATCATTTTGTAGTGTCCTTCCTTGTCTCTTGTAACATTATTTATTTTAAAGTCTATTTTATTTGATATGAGTTTTGCTACTCCAGCTTTCTTTTGACTTCCATTTACATGGAAAATCTTTTTCCATTCCCTCACCTTCGGTCTGTATGTGTTCCTAGGTCTCTTGTGTACAGCATATATATGGGTCTTGTTTTTGTATCCATTCAGCAAGCCTGTGTCTTTTGGTTAGAGCATTTAATCCATTCACATTTAAGGTAATTATTGATATGTATGTTCCTATTTTCATTTTCTTAATTGTTTTGGGTTTGTTTTTGCAGGTTCTTTTCTTCTCTTGTGTTTCCCACTTAGAGAAGTTCCTTTAGCATTTGTTGTAGAGCTGGTTTGGTGGTGCTGAATTCTCTTAGCTTTTGCTTGTCTGTAAAGGTTTAAATTTCTCTGTTGAATCTGAATGAGATCCTTGCTGGGTAGAGTAATCTTGGTTGTAGGTTCTTCCCTTTCATCACTTTAAATATATCATGCCATTCCCTTCTGGCCTGTAGGTTTTCTGATGAGAAATCAGCTGTTAACCTTATGGGGATTTCTTTATGTGTTATTTGTTGTTTTTCCCTTGTTGCTTTTAATAATTTTTCTTTGTCTTTAATGTCAATTTGATTACTATGTGTCTTGGCTTGTTTCTCCTTGGGTTTATCCTGCCTTGGACTCTCTGCACTTCCTGGCCTTCA